ATGTGGTGCTGGGGGATTGAACTGCGGTCCCTGATGCTTTGCCAAGCTTGTTCTAAGTAGGTGCTTTAGACCACTGAGCCATCTCTCCAGCCCCTGGAATCTTAATACTGAAAAGAACCTTAGAAATCAAATATTCCTGTCTCTTGCTCTCCACTGATTTCTCTACCACATGGCATCTGGTCTGTGCTTTAACACCTCAAGGAGGGCTGGCAGTTGGGAGAAGGGAAGGCATTGACCTTGTCATTGTGCCTGTTTAATTACCTTTTTTTTGAGACTGGGTTTTTCTATGTAGATCAGGCTAGCCCTGTACTAATGATGATCCTGCCTCAGCCTCCCAAGTGTTGGAATTACAGGCTCAGGACAGTATGCCCTGCCTGTCCATCTGTTAGTCCTAGTTTTGTCTTAAGTTATTATCTACTCTATTTCAGCTATTTTTTAGTAGAGAGAGAGAGTCTCACCACGTACTTTGGCTCGGCCTCGAACTCACCGTGAGGCCCAGGCTGGCCCCCCTTGCGGCAATCCTCCTGCCTCAGCCTCTGGAGGGAGGGCTGGGATTACAGGTGTGTGCTACCACGCCCTACTGCTTTATTTTATGACCACGCGATTGACTACATTTTATAGAAAGCCTTATCACTACTTGAAAGGGCTAGTTAAAAAAGAAAAGGGCTAGTGACTGAGACACCAAAACAAAAACAAACGCCATACAAACTGGAAGCACTTAGTAAAATCTTTTTTGAATGAGTGAAACAAAGACACAAATGAGAGCACGTTCTTCCCTTAGTTATGGAATGAAAAGGTGACAGCAGCGCCTCTAGTAACCCTCACCCTCACTGCGACTGCTCCCCCATTTCTTCGCTTCCAACACAGGGTGACTGAGAGGCAAAAAGCGAGACTGAAGACGCGCCCGGGCTCAGCATTCAGCTGGGAGGTGGCAGATGGGTGGCCCAGGTTGCCATGGCACCGCCCTGGGCTCCACCCTCCCTCGCCCCCACTTTCCCCGCTGCCCCGCCCGCGCAGCCTCCCTTATGGCAGGCAGTCACGTGTCCCATACGTAACCACACCTCTGCTCCTCGGAGCAGTGGCCAGTGGTCACGTGTGATAGCAACAGATCACGTGGCCTCCAGGCTCCCTCCCCCCCTTCTCTACTGCCCCCACCTTGTCAAAGCCGCTCCGACTTCTCTGCGCATGGGCGGTGGTCACGTGTCACGAACGTCCGGCGCTCGCCCCGCCCCCCCGGTTTCCGCGCGCCTCTCTGGCAGCTGGTCACATGGTGAGGGTGGGG